AAAAATGTATGGATAATACAATTTTTTCATGAGAAGTAGTATTTATATACATCTTTCATTCGACAAATTATTTTTTAAATCAAACTATTTCCTTATATACAGAGGGGGTTCAAATCTGAAAAATGCATATAGAAAGTAGAACTTTTTCAACTTAACTTTTGAAAATGTTTCGGAAATACTGACACTTTTATATATATCTTAAATTAATGCTTATGCAATATAATTTAATATTAAAAAAAAAAATTTCGGACTTTATTTTGTCTTCACAGTAAAAATGGCTACTGAATCCTATTTTCGTGTGAAAATTCTCGATTTTATTTTTTACATTTTTAACTTTATAGTGCTATAACTTATTGAAAAGTGTATGGATCAATACAATTTTTTTATGAGACATTATATTTTTTAATAATCCCTCTTTTATTCGACATACTTTATCTTATTCAGGATATTAACAAGGAACTAGCAGATCATGTAGATTTTGGAATAATCTACCAATATTTTAAATTAAACACTATCTAAAGATTTGCATCGAAGCGTTTTTTATGATAGTGATTTTAATCACTGTCAGATATCATTAAACTTTATCCAACTATGCCACATCACCACTGTGCCGCGACCCCCCTGTGCTGGTTTTTTTATATTATTACTAATTACATTTAAAATAATAATTAAAAGAAAAATAAATTTGTTTTCAAATTATTACTAATTTTGATTTTTAATATGTTAAAAATGATCAGTCCACAAATTTTCATTTTTTACCTATTTTTTTTTGTTCTTTAAGTTGATGAAAAATTTTTGATAAAGTTTTGTGAAAGTTTATATTAAAAAAAATTGAATATATTACCATAACTTTTAGCTCAATCACAAGTTTGAAATTGACAATATAAATAGAAAAATTTATGAGAATTAAAACTATGCTATTTTTAAGATTGATATGCAGTCAGGAAATTTGAACTAAAAACTCATTATTTCTTTTCATTTTTATCGTAATAGCACACTTAAATAGAGATCATAGTAATCATTTCTAAGTAACTTTTGGTATTTAAAAAAATTCTACAATTGAAATATCTAGAACTGAATTAATTTTAATGAATTATTTTAACTTTCACAAAAATAGCATATTTTTGCATAAGTTAGTAATTTTTACCATAAAGACAAATCCAGAGGTCAAATTTTTTTTTCAAAATAAAGTATATTACATAAGCTTTAATTTAAAGTATATATAAAAGTGTCATTTTCAAAAGTTAAGTTGAAAAAGTTAATTTTTTGTAAAAAAGATACCATTTTGAAACCCTTCCTGTGGGCTGTGTCGTAACACAATAAAAGGGAAGTGTAATATAATGTGTATGATTATGAGGATGTGGTGCCTGCTGTATAGGTATTCACGTGCGTGTTGTCGTACAGCAGCTGCTCGGCTGACACTCCGGGTTAGCTGTGGGTGACGAAAGGCTGTTGTTATAAGAAGAGAATAAGGGTAACACCTAGGTATGACGTAGAGACGAAGTACATGACACAAATACCAGGTGTATGCAAAAGGAGCCCAAAGTATGAGATGAAGACGAAGTGCAAGACACGAATACTGGGCGTACCAGATAAGGAGTATAACAATGTACGAGGTGCAGACGAAGTGCAAGACACAAGTACTCTGAAATGTTGTGGAAGAGAGTAGATAGGTTTAAAAGGAAAAAAACAAAGACTTTACTTTAAGCAGTAAGCCAGACAACGACAACCGAGTACTGAAAATAAAATCGAAAATTTTCATACAAAAATATCATTTGGTAACCATTTTCACAGTAAAAACGATCTAAAGTATATTACATTAACTTTAATTTAAAGTATATATAAAAATGTCAGAATTTCCGGAACACTTTCATAAGTTAGGTTGAAAAAGTTGTCATTTTAAATCCCCCCTGTGGGCAGGTTAAGTGTCAGATTTACCAAAAAAATATAGCAAATGATAGGTAAAGACATTATGCATCTATAAAAAAAATATTTATATTAATTTGTTTATTTTTGAAAAAATTATGGTAGTTTTAAATAAAAAAAATTTCGAAAATTAGCGATTATTAAATTTGTAATTTTTTTGCATATTTCCCCCATTTGAGGGAACGAGGGAATTTTTTCAATTTTTAAGGGTAATGTCTTTGACTAGATACGATTTGTGATCTTTTGACATATCGTTAAAAGAAATCGGTCCAGTGAGAGCTGAAAAAAAGTAGAAACAGACAAAAAAAAAAAAAACATATCATAGTAAAATGAATACCTTCTCAGTTTTACATCGAAGCTAATAAAGAATTTATTCGAAAATACCATTGCTAAAGAGTGTTTAAAAAGCAATTAATAGAAAGCTTACTAATTTAATAGTAAAAAAAAATTANACATTAACTTTAATTTAAAGTATATATAAAAATGTCAGAATTTCCGGAACACTTTCATAAGTTAGGTTGAAAAAGTTGTCATTTTAAATCCCCCCTGTGGGCAGGTTAAGTGTCAGATTTACCAAAAAAATATAGCAAATGATAGGTAAAGACATTATGCATCTATAAAAAAAATATTTATATTAATTTGTTTATTTTTGAAAAAATTATGGTAGTTTTAAATAAAAAAAATTTCGAAAATTAGCGATTATTAAATTTGTAATTTTTTTGCATATTTCCCCCATTTGAGGGAACGAGGGAATTTTTTCAATTTTTAAGGGTAATGTCTTTGACTAGATACGATTTGTGATCTTTTGACATATCGTTAAAAGAAATCGGTCCAGTGAGAGCTGAAAAAAAGTAGAAACAGACAAAAAAAAACATATCATAGTAAAATGAATACCTTCTCAGTTTTACATCGAAGCTAATAAAGAATTTATTCGAAAATACCATTGCTAAAGAGTGTATAAAAAGCAATTAATAGAAAGCTTACTAATTTAATAGTAAAAAAAAATTAATTATGACACGGCACCGCCTTTTGCTCTAGGCTGGCGCTCACCCGTGTCTCTCTCGATATCAGCCGTCCAGCTATTAATATGACAATCGGTTGTCATCGGTCGTCACCCCGCCCTTGACACTGAGATAAGGCCGCCGCCGAATATGGATTACCGATATTGCGGTCTGTTGCGTTTCGACGTTCATCTCGACTGGTGGATCTCTTTTATTTTGGTGTGTCTTTAATTTGGTGTTTTTCGCTTTTCCGGTTTTTACCTTAACTGGTTTGTGCTTTAGTAGCATCTCGTGGTGTACCGTTTGCTCGTCACACGATTTTGAAGTTTGCGACTTGGTAAAACACATTGTACTCGTGCCCTCATTTAACGGTGTTACCTCCTAAGACTAACGGATACAACCGATCACGGTAACCGTAATTGACCAGTGTAATACTGAACTCATCGGTGCGAATTGTTACGAGTGGTTGTCGTAATTTTATGACTCATTTATATAAACAAACGGTATTTATATATATATACATATATAGTTATATCATTTACGAGTGCGTGCTAATTGGATACGCGTTAATTATTGTAATCATATAACTAAAAATCTACATACATAACAATTCATATTATTTAACAGTATTTCATACAACATCCTAATCATTTCAATGCTAATCTACAACATCCACCACCTTCTAATACACAAATAGGATTACAAGACGCAATTAGACTGTTACCTCATTCCTTCGACGGAAAAGACGTAGAACAACTCGAAATCTTCCTTGAAAAATGCGAATTTGCAGTCGAATGCGTAGTACCGATAGCCATCCTTTGCTTACTACAAGCAATTTAAACTTGGTTATCAGGTAAAGCAAAGCAGGTAACTAAATATAAGAACTTCGAGTCATGGGATGACCTAAAAGAGACTTTAAAATCAAATTTAGAGCCCCAAAGGACATCTTTATTTGGAACTCTATGCTACGAAACAAATGCATAATGAGGACGTACTTTCCTACTCCATGAGAGTAGAAAAACTACAAAATCAATTAATAGAGCAGGAAACGTCAGATAAAAATCCGAAAGTGGCGAAAGCAATAGAACAAACCATAAATAATCAAGTTATCCAGGTATTCGTAGAGGGACTGGGTAATTTAAAAGACTTTATCAAAGCCCGAAACCCTTCTACCATAGACAAAGCTGTACAAGCAGACAGAGAAGAAGAGAGAATAAGGTTATCCAATCTGGGGGCCGAACAATACTTAAAAGACGGACCGAAATTCAATTCTAATTCTAACTATTCTATGTCTCCTTCTACCTCCAACAGATATTTTCCTAAAATCAATTATAATAATAATTCTACATCTGTAAACAAACCCACTTCACCAAATTCCAATTCGTCAATAGTAATTTATAAATATTGTAAAATCGAAGGACACCTCATAAAACAATGTATTAAAAGAAGATACGCTAATAAGAACAGAAGAAAAAAACAGGAAAACGGGAACCGTCCGGGCTAAGGCGCAAGTCCGGTGGGAAAGTAGCAAGTGGCCATAGCACAACTAGAATCTTTAAATGCAACCCAGTTAAACACTGGTTATGTTCAAATTCTATGCCAACAAACCATTCCAAATCTTCTAAATCTTTTAGATACAGGTAACGATTTAAATCTTATTAAACTAAATATTCTAAATCCTGACGTACCAGTAGTAGAGACCGAATGTTTTAATCTAACTGGTATCACTGACCAAACTATTTTTACTCTTAATAAAGTTATTCTCAGTATTCAAATAAGAAATCACATGATAAATACTGAATTTCATGTCGTCCATCCATAGGCGTAAATAGCCTTAATTTTTTGGGGGGACTTAAGTCTCTCACATATTTCAGTAAAAACATNTTCTCCTTACCCCCACCATCGAGAAACCACGCCCACTATATGACCTTGACATTACCCCCACCATTGAGAGAACACGCCCACTGTGTGACACGCCCCTCCTCCCCCGACCACGCCCACCCACGGTAGGTGGGTAGGTGAAGGGGTGAGGCGGGGGGGTTCTAGAACTCTCTATTTTACCCTACTTACGTCTTTCTTTTTCGGCAAATACATTTACAATATCTTCTACATTTATATTATTGGATATATCCCTTTCAATGTGTAAAACTGATAGACTTGAAAATCGATTCTGTTCCATAGTTGTCCTCAACCACGTTTTCACTTTTCTCATGGCACTAAAAGATCGTTCGCAAGTTGCTGAACTTATTGGTATTGTTATTGCGAGTTGCAGGTATTTGAATAGATTAGGATATACTGATGGAGTAATGAGTTCAACCATATCTGTTAAATCAAAGTTTGCATTTTTTTTTTAAAGGCAAGATTTAGCTACAACCATCTCTGCTTCTAATGATTTTTTACAACACTTTGTTAGTTTCTGTAAACACACATATAATATAAATTGTTATATTTATTATATTATCAATTTATTTAATTAAGGTATTAAATCAAAATTTAAATTTTTAAGTGATAAAGACTTACCAAATAGTGATCAAAAAAATCCATACTATTTTCAAAGTCTAACTTAATAAATTTGTCAACTGCAACTGCTAATTTTAAGCTTTCTTCAGAAAATCTGTCATTCATGTTTACAATTAAACTATCTAGTACTCTATAATATCCATTAATGAGCCAATATTCTTTAACAGAACAGTTTCCAAAATTTGTGTTTGTAAATTCAAAACTAGTAGATGTTATGTGGAAATTTTCTAATGAATTTGGTAAGTTTTTTTTCCTTTTTGATCCTGTAAAATAATATTTGTGTCTGGAGTTAAACCATTTAACCATATGCATATATATTTTATAATTAATCAGCAAGTACCTATTACTACTTAAGGTATTTAATGCATTTTCTACAATCATATGCTATATGTAATTCATAAATTAGTAACTATCATTGTTCATGCCTTTAATACTGGCTGTATAGATCCAGATATCAGATTACCTAAATCAGTTACATCATTATTAAAGTATGACTCATTTGTATCCTTGGCATTGGGTAACGATGCATTCATATCAATCACATTTATACTACAACCTGGTTCAGCTAATTCAGGTTCATGTTTGTTATCTTTAAAACGTGCAGTAAGTATTAAGTTAACATCAATATGTATTGAGTTAGATTCATTTTTTTCTTCAACTGGACTACTCTTGTTACCAGTTTTACCTGTTTTTTTTTTTTTTTTGTTTTATTAAAAATGTCAAAAATTTACTCATGGTTATTGAATAAAAATATATAACACTATACTTGCAATAGTAAACTTAAAAAAAAATCACTTGACTTAAATATAATATGTTCATACATGAAAATAAATAAAATTGAGCATACAGCTTACAACGTTCAACAATTCTGAATGAAGATTAAAATAAACTAAAAATAACCTAAATATTAAATTCGTTGATTTTGTAAATTTGTAATGTGCATTACAATGAAAATTGGCGCGTAAAATGATAACAGCTGATGACCGCCAGAGTAATCATGAGCGAGCGAGTTCTACGTCGGTATCAGTGTACCACCTATTATTTATCAAGTTTGGTAAAGACATATTATCCACGATAAGTGATGTAACAATCTTTTCTTATCGTCTTGGGTTCTTGCATAATATTGAATTTATTGTACTCCAAAAAAAAATGTTGTAATTGGATTAATTTCTAAAATGTATTAGTTATTAATGCTTAGTACTCTTTACTAACTTTTGAACTAGGGGACTTTGAATAATATTGGGGGGACTAATTCCCCCCAAGACCCCCCCTATTTACGCCAATGCGTCCATCCTAATTTTCCTATAAAATGTGAAGGCATATTTTAGACATTTTTGCAATTAAATCAATTTTCAGTCGATTTCCGAAATAGTGAGATAATTATGCACATGAATAAAATATGTGAAATATCTCCACGCTCTGAATCACTCATTTCTATTTCTGCATGTGATATCGCTGAGGCCACAGCGTTATTCATTCATTCTCAAAGTCTATATGAAAACTCATTATGTGGTAATGTAATGACAATAGTTAAAAACCACGAAATCCTAGTACCTGTTATCAACACATTCGAACGTTCAATTCTACTTCCGCCGAATCTCGCTCTGTCTCAACTTTCTTTCGACATATGGACCGAACAAGAGTCATGTTATATTTCAAATTCTATTTCTGATAACAGTCTTTCGGCGAGCAGCCAACGATTGAGGTTACTCAAAGAATCTATTCAAACTGACCATTTAAATCCTGAGGGAAAAGTTTCGGTTGACACTATATGCCGCGAGTACTTCGACATTTTTCATTTAGATGAAGACAAGCTGACATGCACAGATGCTGTTTATCACGAAATAAATACGCCCGCAATCGTACAGCTCATCAATGAACGTCCATACCGTTTGCTTTTCCGTCACAAACAAGAAATCAATAAACAAATCAAAGAACTCGAAGCACAAAATATCATAGCTCCCAGCAAGAGTCCATGGAATACACTACTATTAGTTATAACGAAGAAACCGGACAATAATAGTGTTGTAAAATATCGTGTCTGCTTTCATTTTAGAAAATTAAATCAAGTCTCTGTTGGCGACACATATCCTATTCCTAATATCGCTGACATTCTAAATCAACTAGAAAAATCTTCATATTATTTACTCGTCCACAGGTTATCAGCCATATAAGTTAGTCTATGGTAGACAGTTACAAATTCCTACCACATTCTCAAAACCTCCAAAACTTCAATACAACTTCTCCGATTATCAATTCGAACTCAAATGGAGACTCCAAGAAACAAATGAAGTCGCACGCAATCGATTAATCGCTAACAAGAATACATAAAAATTGCAGTATGATAAAAATGTACAATCTTCAGAAATAATGGAAGGAGACATGGTTTATATACAAAATAAAGCAGCTCACAACAAACTTACACCAAACTGGATAGGTCCATTCGAGGTTCTTGAAATCCACTCTAACCAAGTCAATGATTAAGCAAAAGGGGAAACCACAGCTAGCTCATAAAAACTTATTGAAAAAACAATTCTCTTAAATCAAAATAAATATTTTTTAGTACATACACTATGTATGTACTAAAAAATGCGGAAATTCTAATTTACCCACCGGACAATCTAGCACACATGAACATAATATATCTTCACATCGGAATGTATTACGAAAAGAAATCTAATGTCAAACTACACAGCAGTGACTGGGCAATAGTGACATTCTTGGACACATCACAGTATGCGTCCAAATACAACATTCTCTTGCAATTATATAGTACAACACGTAATTTATGTACACAACTTAAAGTCAAAGTAAGTGTGTTAGAAGTTATAGAAGCTTGTCATAATTTTGATAGAACTACACTTCCATATCTCTTCGAAATCGAATCAAACCGAAACGCTATAAATATCTCACTAGGACAGGACGTCCATAAAGTAAACTACCGGATCCGTCGTAACGTCATCAGCTCAGTAAGGACGGTAGCAAAAACAATTTTTGATTCAAGTCACATGTTAAACTCTGAATTTATCTTTGGTAAAATAATAGATTTTGCAAAGTCCAAATTGAGCGCCACCAGTATAGTAAACGAAAAAATGCGGTTATTCCAAACGACAATCTCTGATATTAATAACATGACCAAGCACATTAATGAAGCTCAAGTCGAAATCGAAAAGAATATTTAATATCTTAATAGCGAAGTCATAAAGAACTCTCAAATTATCAACAATCTAATCACGAAAACAGCTTTGTTAGAACAATCAACGTTATTCCAAATCCTTCTAAATCAATATGCGTACGAAACGCAAAATATTGTTTCCATTATCAATTCTGCTATCCATGGCAAAATTGACACCACAGTTTTGCCTCCTAACAAGTTACTTTCTTAGCTACGGGAAATACAGCTAGAACTTCCCGCTGGCAATCAACTTCCTATAGATATTGATATACAAAATATTCCCGAGTTCTTTTCAATATCTTTGACATCCATAATCTATAGAGACAACTTTCTCATTTTTATATTGCAATGTCCAATAATCAAAATCGATGAATATAATTTCTATCACACGATACTCTTACCATTCTATTTCTAAAACAATAATTTTGTTCTAGTAAAACCAGACAGCGATTATATAGCAATTAGCGATGATAGCAAATTTTATTTAACTTTTAGTCAATCGCAAATAGAAACATGTATACCACTTAACTCATATACATTATGTAAATGTAATCATCCTGTTTATTATAAATCTTCTTCTAAATTATGTGAAATTTTATTTTTAAAAAACCCACAAGGTTTGCCCCATTAATGCAAACTCATTTATGTATCATTTAATAACAGTATATGGAATCGTTTATCGAATACCAATTCCTGGATTTATTGAACGCAAGACGAACTAGTTACTCTGAATTGTAAATCTCCTCAACGCACTTTTTCTGTTTATATAAAAAATATTGGTCATTTAACAATATCTCCCACTTGTACTGTTCATACCACCTCTTCAATTCTAACGCCCATTTCAACTGTACTATACAACCATTCTAATAATATAGTCCCTCTGATTCCTAAGTTTAACTTATTTAACACTTACACAGAATATGTTATTAAGGTAACCCCGCAACAAATAACAAATATCGATTTATTTAATGATCTTTGTAAATTAATCAAACATATACAAATCCAAATAATCATAACTTTATACTAAATCATTATCATATTGCAATTATATATACTTGTTTATCAATTTTTATTGTATTAATTATAATTGTCGCTGTATTCTTTAAGTATAAGAAAAAGGTGATTCAAGTATATACCACTGAAATTACTAATGCACAACTCTGACTCTCTATTTTAGATTATATAATTCGCCAATAATAGAAACATTCTAAATCCCTTTGAAATTATATAACTTTATTTATCCGATTTCCCTTGAGTCATTGGGAATCATTAGATCTCCATTGATCATTTAGTGGGGGGGGATGTTAAGAACCCCTCAATATTACTGTAAAATATTATAAAGTATAGAGTATATGGTCGTCCGACTGTCGTCGAACACAGAAATGTGCTGACCAAGGGATTTAGGGCAACCATAGGCAAAGGACTCCTACTATAAACCCCAGAGAGTCAGTCGTGGTTCGATATGTGAAAGTGACGTTACACATAATATTCTAAATCTAAGCTGGTTAATTCTAACTTTAATTCTAAGTCTGTATACTAAAGCTGTATTCTATTTCGTACATTATATCTTTTAATATTCAATGTTATTTTATTTTATTTTAATTACCTTTTTAGATATTTTCAATTAAAATTACTTGTATTGGCTATAAGTACATAGTGGAGATGGTTATCAGTTAAGCGTGAACGGTATGGGTTTTTAATTTTTTGCCTTTAATATTGTATTCTTACAATACAGAAATTAATTCACGACAAACAAACATTATTTTTCTTTTATTTTCAATAACAAAGTATTGATTGATCCATTTATGCTGAAATACACGACATTCAGAATCTACTTTTCTTTTTTTACTGACATTCAATATAATTCGTTTAAAATTTAAATTAACTTTAAATTAACAGCCAAATAAACAACCACTATAAATATAAAATATAAATTATAATGTTATTAAAACTACACACGACGCAAATTGCACATAACCGTACGAAAAACGCAATAGGTATTTTCTTATTTAAGTTATTATTTTATAGATTGTGTTAAGATTGTGATTTAAGTTATACTTTTGTTAAGATTATATTGTTGGCGTTATTTTGTTAAGTTAAAAGGTCGCGGTTCCAGTTTCGTTTGAGTCGACGTGGTGGATTATCAGGTATTGTAAATGTATGTATTTTTTTTATTAAAGGGTTTGTGTTTGTGTTAAGTTTCGAATGGAATCTAGTGTAGTGTAAAGTAGTGAGTTCTTTGGCTGATTTGATGTTAAGTTCTTTGTGTAAGTTGTTGTTTGTTACATACCAGGGCGCGCCAGTTATCATTCTTAATACTATGTTTTGGAAAGCTTGTATTGGTCGGATATTTGATGGCTTGGCTGGTCCCCATATCTGGATGCCATAAGACCAGACTGGTCTGATTAATGACTGATATATGAGTATTTTTGTTTTAAGCGGTAGTTAGGATTTGAATAGTTGACGAAAGAGATGGAGTCTACTGTTGGCTTTTTTCCTTTTGTCTTTTT